GGGCTGCCTCAGTTGGCAGTTGGAGAGGACAGCTGAGCAACAGAGAGCAGCGGAAGGGTTTTGGTGTTCCAGATGGGAACATGGAGTTGATGTGGGGAGAGGTTAGGAGGCTGGGGGCCGTGTTGGAGGTAGTGCGGCCCTTCAGTGAAGTTCTTCTGCCATGGCAAGGTACCGAGAGGAGAGATGACTACTTGGAGTCGTCCCTTGGAATGGTGCGGCCTAGGAGTAGTTTTTTGGATCAGAGACTGTGGCGTTGGACGGGGGAGTGGAAACATCGAGCTGTCCGGGAAAAGTTGCAGCCTTGGAGTACTTCCCGACAACCGTCTCGGGGGCGATGTCGATAGCTTCGCGGACCTACGGTTTAACTACCTTCTTTCAATACCCGGACCTGATTAAAAAGCAGACTGCCGGGTCTCTATTCACACTGCCCTCATGGCATCCTATTTTGTATTTTTACTATTAGTTTTCTTGTAAGGGGTTGGGGAAGGGAACAAAATGTAGAGACCCGAGAGGGTATACATATGAAAATAAATATATAATAAAGAAGATTTATTAAAAATATTTTAATCATTGATTGATATGACAAAAAATTACATTTTCAGATCCTCCGTAATAATACAAAATACATATATACTATTCAAAAATACTGGATACCGAATCGTCCGGGTGAATCTTTGAAGATATTTACAATTTTCTACTCAGTTAGATGGACCTCATGATCGTGAATAATTAATTATCTGGAGTATCATCAGAGTGAAATCCTTTACGTGCGTATGCATGCCGCCAGAGAACCTCACCTTCAGGTGTCAAAAAGTAATTATCTAGTACATGTCTCTGATTGTATGCATCTCTTGTAGCGCGATGAGCACTCGAAAGTGCAAGACCTTCAAAACCTTCACCAAGTTCAGTTCGCCATTCTCCAGGCACTAGTTGGCCGTTTTCAGATTCAGAATCCACAAAATTGGGTGGGCAATATGAACGATCATGTGGTGAGAATGCATCATTCGTAGTTTTTAAGAAATTATGAAGGCAAACGCACGCCATAACAATCTTATCCATAGTCGCAGGATTTATGCAAATGGGTTTTCAAAATACTCTCCACCGGGAAACCAGGATTCCAAATGCATTTTCTATTGTTCTTCTGGCTCGAGATAATCGATAATTGAAAAGTTTCTGAACATGAGTTAAATTACGACCAGCATATGGTTTCACCAGATTTTTAGTTAATTGAAAAGCGTCATCGCCAACAAAAAAACAGGGCGTTGCAACTTCACTTCCAGGTAATTTTGCAACCCCTTCTGGTAATTCGAGAGTTTGATCTCGCAGCGCTTTCTCGAAATCCGATCGAGAAAACACTCCGGCTTCATTGTGGCTCCCATAGGCTCCGATATCTACCAGTGTAAATTTGTAATTATTGTCACACACGGCCATCAAAATGATGCTAAAAGTCTTTCTGTAATTATAATATAAGCTTCCGGAGTGCGGTGGTGCTTAGATTTGAATGCTGCGTTTGAAGTACCTGCAATATTAGGGTGTTTTTTGTGACATATATTTTTTTACAACTTATCTGAATGTGTTTTCTCAAATCTACTTTGTTGATTTACATTATTTTATTTTATATGAGAAATAATAGGAAGCCAGGGAGCTCACGTGGGTAACGTCATTAATTTGACCTCACTATACTTCAATAACAAATCACAAACTTTATACCTCTCATTATAAATAAAAACCATGTCAATAAAATTAATAAACGTACTTAATGTCAACTTCTTTTCTTCACAGATAAAAATTGTTATCAAAATTGAATTGACACTTCCAGACTCCAGGTTAGGATAGACAAACAAAAAATTACTTAACCAATTTTACCACTGGGCTACTGAATGGTTTTGTTATGTAAATTTCTGCATAAAATCCGTTAAATTCGTAATTACTATCGACACCAGAAAAGTCGATGTGATAAAAATGACTTAAGCCTTCCGAGCACTAAAAACTATATTTTTTGATCGATTCTTGTTGTTCTATTCTATTTAATAGACTCATACCCATTTTTAACTAGGCTCACCCTTTCCAATACACATCGTTTACTGGTAATCATAGGGTTCCTCTTATTTTATAGGTACAGTAGAATCTACTGAGTAGATAATGAGTATTCAACAACTAGTCATTCACACGCAACCATTAACATTCACCTTTTTACTGATAACTTTCACACGCCACAACATGATAGGATTCTTTTGAACGATTACAGAAAAGTCGTATACAATAAAATTACCAGTATCACGTAACCAGCGAAGTAGTTAACGCATTTTTGACTGTTCCGATAGATAGAAATGAACAAGACAGAGAAAATATTGTTATTTTTTGTTGTTATTGTGAGCAACTGCTTGGGTATTGCCAAACTCGGAATAGTAAGAATTAAACTGGGAGGGAGGAATACAGAATTTCGGCTGCAGACATCTCGTCTTGCCAATATTTGGAGCAGTATTTTGATGGGCATTATCTTGTATTCAAATTTTTTTATACCCATTTCGTCGTGGTTGAGATGGAATCACAGAAACTGGGCGATGATTGAATATATCAAGACTCTTCAGATGACGCTTGCAAGTCTCGTCTTAGTTATTCTGTGGATCTATTCTTTCCTTCAGCAAAATTTCTTCCTCAGCATAGCCAACAAATTCATGGAAATTGATCATTTCTTTGAGAAATATCGGCACACCTTCCCGCTGAGCCGATTCAGAAATTTCTTCATCCCGTCTATTATAATATTACTCATATTGGCGATCATTGAATTTGTCATGGAGAACTCAGTGTACGCTTATTACGATGTACCATTGTGGTACAGTTGGTGGCGCAAGTACTTGTTCCCCCACTATGTGTTCACATTTTTCATTTTACAATATGCGATTGTCGCCCGAAGTATTAGGATCCGCCTGAAATCGTTGAATAATGGACTAATGAGATTGACGAGGGCATCGGATGATTTTTCGAACAAGTGTACAGTAGCTGGAAAAATAATCACCAACAAATCGATACTAGATACTTTTGTCTCCATCCGAAAAATTCACAGAAAGCTGTATAATCTGTGCGGACAAATTTCGGAATATTATTCCTTTCCTGTTCTCATTGTATTGGCATACACTACATTTGTCATGATCACTTTAGTGTATTATATGATCACATTGATATTATATTTTCATGATGGTGGAGTGATCGAGAAAGTATTACCACTTTTTGCTTTGTCAATGGCCGCGTGCTTATGTGGTCGATTAATACATGAAATTCAACAACTTATCAAAGAGGTAGATATCATTCATTGGCGCAATCATCAACGAACTTTCTTAGTAACTCATCAATTGCGCCCCATCACTGAAAACTATACTTATGATATCTGATATATTGCAGTTTTGGCCGAAATATATGCGCGTATAATTAATTATATGATTTCTTATTGAATGACTATTTTAGGTTTGAAGATATTTTTTAATAGTGCCTTCTGATTTCAGTTCAAGAAAACAGCGCCAATAACGTTCGAGATTTTATATAGCTCCTCTGCTGATCACAGCTTGAAAGCAGCAGTAATTACAGTTAAAATTTTACCATCAAAAGGTATGATTCCCCATCTACTTCTCTATTTATTATTCTTAATGACTTTTAGGTGATATACTTCACCCAGGAGCTGTTGCACAAACAACTTACATTTACGGCATACGGATTATTCCCATTAGATTACACATTTTTTCAGTCGGTACGATCGTCATTTAGATTGTATAGAAAATCAGTCTTTAATTATGTGAATTATTGTAGATATTTGCTACGTCATTGACGTACTCGATCATAATTCTTCAATCATCGGTGCCGAGTCGTCCAAACTTGACAAGATTTACTAATGAAACCAATTGAAGATTGTTCATAAATCACCCGATAAAAATATATGAGGCTAAGTTAATGACGACATGATAAGGAATTTATGTATAATAAAAAATAATATACTAGTGGAAAAAAGTGATAGAATAACGTCCGTTAAAAATTTTCAAGTACGATTATGTCCGGCACTGAATTGAGTTAATTAACAGTAAATATTTTATCCGAGAAACTCACTATAAGTTGATGGTGGGAAGAGAAATAATAGAGTTCAAAGTAAATACATAAAATTATGTATGCATACTGTAGGCCAAGACTAGAAAAAAATGCACCAGGATACATCTGAAACTACAAACAAATAACGGAAGTCTAGCGATTGAAGCGACAAGATCTGGAAAATGTCTGTGGAATATGTCGTTGATGAGTCAAAAACAGATGGTTCAAAAAATTCCTGAAAGAGAAATAAAGAAACTTAATAAAAATAAGAAACAAACACGATCCGATGGGAAGAGAACTGGAGGGGAGATTGAATGATTGACATGAATTAGCTGTACATTATGTGTGTGCAAAAGAGATAACGATGAAGCGTATCGTATGGCAATACCTAGCCGCAGCAATTCTGGAAGAAATCGGATATATGAAATCATAAACACGGTGAGCAGAGGGAGAGAAATGTGTGACGTTGAGAAGCAATTCAGATATATGAGAAAATTGTAACAAAGAATAATTAATAAATGTATAGCGTGACACCGCCACTCTCGATTGTTTTCCGTTAGTTTCCGGGGATTACCCCGCTTCGAAAGTTCACTGGTTCTCAGTTTTATTATCACTTTCCTAAATGTTTTTGGGATTCGCATAACATTGTATGAAGTATTCTTAGCGTTTTTTGTGTGTATATTGATTATTTTCATCTAATAAATATTTTTTCGAATATGCCTTACAAGATGATACCAAGTGCGCCCCAAATGGTAGTAATTTATCAAAATTAGTAGTTGATGATCGTTTTGTATATTGAAACTAATCCTTATTATCCCTTATAGTGAAAGAGTAAGGGGCTTTTAATTTATTTTCCACTTCAATTGATCAATTCTCGGCCAATACTCGATCATTGCTTAATGATCGATTTTTATCTTAAAGATCGACCAGAGAAATGTGGCTAAGACGATATTATATTTTCACAATTTTAAACATATACGGAAAAAAACTAGGAGATATTTTCAGTCAATGCTTATCACCGAATTCATATTCAAATAATTTTCTTAACGATATTTAATGAAGAAAAAATATATTCTCTTTGTTGTAATGCGTTCAAATTTGAATATTGAATCATTTATCATTTGGCAATCGAATACAATTTGATCAAAGAATAATGGGCCAAATGAATTGCAGTATATTATCGTCAAAATTGATTGAAATTCAATAATTTATAAACATCGATTTCACAATTAAACCAGTGTACATTTTGATTATGATTGCTTTTGCGATTAAGTGCCAAGTTGAATAGTTACAGCAGAAAATGTATTGTGTGAGTGTGGAAATACCTGAGCAATAAAACGCCATGATTTGTCCCAATTTCGCGGTGAATTTCTGTTTTCTTGTGGAAAAATTCCGTATCACTATTTTTTGAATAAACTAATAATAATGAACAATAAGTCGCGAATGCCATTATAAGAAAATCCGTATAGCTGTTGTTGCTAAGAAATTAGCAACAAGTATCCGAATGGATTTTCTGAAAATTGGAAAATATAAAGGGTAATAAAGGACAAAAATATTTTCTGAATAGGATCATGTGTGGATTCATTGAAATTCTTAGACATGTTCGGTTGAAACCTGAATTGAATTTGGAAGAAGAAAACGATTGATTTTGCCATCTCTGCGAATTAATTATATTCTGCGAAGTTAGTTTTTTTTTAATATATTTTTGCCCATTCTTGGCCAGCTTCAATGCTGTGGAATGGAAACCACAATAAACCGGTAGGTATATTCCATCAGGAAAAATCATTGAAGGGCGCTAAACGGGCAATTTTAATTAAGAGGAATCTGCCAAGTTTACTAAAAAATAATTTTTAAAATACGTACAAAAGCCTCCACAGGATTGAATGAAAGTTATAGGCAATGCTACGTGGTTATTTTATTATTTGTTAGTAACCTTGGCAGATCCCTTTAATTGATATCGCTCTTTAACGTCCTCCAATCATTTTCCCCCTATTTTCTCCTTATTTTATATCGAATTTTAATGCATTTTAAGCTAAAAAGATGAAATTTAAACAAGAGATAAGATTCTATAGATAGTTCATCAGTGTTAATCAATTTTATTTCTTGAATAAATAATTGCGGGAGGACTGAAACATGACATACTCAAATTTGTTCGTCGCCTCAGAAATTTAACAGGCTCTTTTTTGACATTTTAGTAGTAACATCAGCTTTCAAAATAAATAAATACGTGATGGGAACAGAAAAGAAAAATTTTCCATTTTTGACTTTTTTCCCCGTTTTTCCTGTTCTTCAGCGTAATTTTTCCTCTTTTCCTTTTCTTAAGGGGTACCCCCATTTCGGTTGATTTCAGAGTAGGAGAAGGGCCTTCACGACCCTGGTCCATCAGGCCCATTTCCTCTTACAATGGGTTTGCCCTGCTGTAGACTATAATTTTCCCTAATATTTATGCAGCCAATGAAGTTTTTGGTGGGGAAAATTATTTTTATGAACTTGAGTAGTGGGGGACATTGGGTCGCCTAACTGAATGAGAGATAGTGGGGGCGTCCAGACAGAATTGTTTTTACTGAGAAGATGTGTTCAAAACGCACTCGGACGTCATCGACACCGCAGTACAATATACATATACCATAGCCATATACATATACTAGCGTTGCGTTCTTGAAATTTTCAATTAATTTTGGTGTTGCTATTTCTTTGGATTTGGAATATCAGCAGTACACATGGAGTGAAGTGTACATAACATAGGAATTGTAAGATTCTCAGAACACTGTATTTTTCAAGGACGAGAATGGTTCGTTTATTATTCATCGATTTATTAATTTTTTAATTATTTTATAAATTTACTGGAATTTTAAACTGTGAAAACTCAGTATCGCAATGCGAATTTCTCTCAGTACATAATTCCTGTCAATTATTTGCATTCAATTTTCTCAACCCATCACTTCTCCAGGGACAAGAAAGAAAACGAACTCGCAAGTTTGATGAAGAGGTACCTCCAGAATTCAGTAGATCCGTAAGTTCCACCGCATTGGCAAAAGGTCAACAGCCGCTTGAACGGGTGAACAACAATGCTTCCTCAGAAAACCAAATTCGCAATTCAAAACGTTCTATGAATTTTTTTTCTTCGGAAATTTCTAGAAACATTCAAAAAATGAACGAAACATCAATGACATTGTTGACCTCAGGTCAATCCTACAAGATTCAAAAGCGTCCTAGAACATTATCAGAGGAATCAGTGGTAGAATTAGTTCCTCAACCCATGCCTCTTTGGATTCCAAAACAGGAACTGGTATCACCTGATGAAGATATGGACAGCGAAAAAAATATTACCAGTTTGAGTAATCAATCCATTCCGCAAGAAAAGCGCCACGAACAAGTGCTGAAATGTCAATTAAACGAGGATCTAATGTTACTGGAGGATGACTTGGAAGTCGAAGAGGCAGATGAAAATATTTCGGTGTACCCAGACAACAATCAATTGTTGCTTTCTAAACTGGTTCAGGTGGAGTCGTCTCCTTCCAACACGATCGCATCAATAGAAAAACTCCGAACAAATGAGAATGTCAATGTAACCCCCACAAATCCTCACGATAGCAGATGTCCATGTCAAAAAAAATCACTCAGCTATTTAAAAAATTGGAAGAGCGTCAACAAAACATCCCATCAAGTTTTGAAAAAAACACCAGATGCAGGCGCCTATGTTTATTCTTTTGGAAATTTGGTGAATAATTTGAATAGGGCCAAACAAACTGGTGCTACAAACGATTTTCATTTAGAGAATATTTATGAATTAGACACGGACCGTCGAAGTGAATTTAAATTTGAATGGGATAGGAGACAACGAAACGTTGTTGAGACGGAGTTTAATATTGATGACATTGTTCGACCTGTGGATGAACGCTTTGGGATAATCTTTGAAATTATTCGTACAGTTTTCTCTAAACCAATGAATTGTGGATATTTCAATGAGGAGGAGAGAAATTTTCTGTTCAATATTTTGACGCTGAGGCAAGAAGAACAGTACTTTTTCGCCATTTTTTTAGTAGAGGGAGGGGAAGATTGGTTTTTTGCAAGAGAACGAGATTATGATAAGCTTAATGGTGAGAAAATCGAACTTAGTTCATTCATGGAAATGCTGCAAAAGGGATTCTTGGAGAATGGTAAACTATTTTTCTTTTTCAATCATTTGATTTCAGTTATAGCGTGTTTGCTCTTAAGTTCGAATAAAAAATCTGTTATTTTTTAGTTTATTTCCATTTGCCTCTGATTATTAAAATAGCTACCATTTAATGGTATTTTTGATGATTATACGATTTTCGTGACACTGACTAAATTGTCATTGTCTTTCATCTCTCAAACACCAATTGAAACACCAAGACGAATTGACCAGTCTAAGATTAACATGTCTCTTTAATTATTCCAGCTTACAAAACTAGGGACGGATCATTCTTCGACGTCTTTGACGATGTCTTTCTGCAAAACATCTATGAAAAAATGAAAGGAGGTGCCGCAGCATCCCGTCGTAAGATGATCTCCGTCCTTGAAAAAATCTTTCGTCAAGAAATGGACAACGGTGCGGGGGATGAACCATTGACTTCATATCTTTACTCCCAAAAGGGTCCAATGGTCAGAGTCTCCTCCATCCTAATTTCCTTAGCTCATCGAATTCTAACTCTGTACTTTCCCAATCACAATCCTCACCACGACTTCTCTCACGTGATTTCAATAATTGCTCGAGCCCTGGACCGAGATAATCCGACAAAATACCCGTCGTATTCTATAAGCACCTTGCCACTCTTCAAGAATCGTCAATCTTTGATCGACTACACCCAAGCGAAACTTCTAGCCATACAAGTACACGATATGATGGAACAAAAACCATTGCATTATATTAAGAAACTCGTCAAATTTGGAGAGCAAATTAAAAGGAAGCTCGAAAAATTGATTATGGCAGTGGATGGGAATTACCCTAGAATTCCTGTGCACATACGACAGTTTTTACCCACGCATCTGTTATCAAAAATGTTAATATCAATCATCAGATTTCTAAGAACACAAACAACCCAGCTCAGTCTTTTTTCAGCCAAACAGTGCCTGACATTTCTACGTGAAAATTGCAAAAAAATTCCGGTTGATAAGATCGTTCTCTTAAAGGAAGCGATCGCAATTGAGGTCGAACGAGTAAAATTCCCTCAACGCGCTGGAGAATATGTGGTGGCTGCTTTCGAACTCCTCGAAACTCAAAATTCGCGTCTCCATTATTTGCAACTCATGGACATTGCAAAAAAGCTCCAATTGAATAAACTCGCGCCGCTCACAAGAAAGGCGATTATAAACCGTTTGGAACAAAAGGAAAACTTTTCCAATCTTCCAACAAAAAAAATGGTCTTCCAAGTTCAAGGGGAAGGGGTTAACCAGACCCGTCGTTCTTGGAAACCGATTAATGAAAATGATCTTCAAGCGTTCAACAGACTCAAGAATTGCGTGGTGAACCATTACATTAAGTGTGGATATCCTAAAGCAGTCAAATGTGAATCACTTCCGGTTACTATATTCGCTTCGCTGTTTTGGGAAGAACTTTTTTGGATAGGCAAGATTCCTGGGGCTTTTGTCTCAAGATTTCAGGAAGGACCGCTTGATTTGTTTGATGAGAATTTCTATAAAAGCCGAAAATCAAGTTTTGAAAGGAGATTGGAGTGTTTGGAAAGTATGAAAGATGATGACATCTGGACTTCAATGGCAGAGGTTTATCAGAAGAGTTCTTCGGTCGAATCGATAATCAGCCATTCTTTTGGAGATCATAATGATTTTAAGGGGATGATCAAGTGTTTGAAAAAAAAGGGAGTGCTCGATATTTGTAGGAAGATGATCAAAGGAGAGTGTTTTCATTGGGGATTCCCCGATGTAATTGCTTGGGATGAATCGACAATGCGATACACATTCGCCACTGTCCGCATTCCTCGCAATGATTTTTCAGTAGCACAGAATTTGTGGATTAAAGCGTTGATCAATTTGAAAATGAGTTTTCAAGAGATCTCGCCTAAAATAATAAAAGGACAGTGAGCAACAATTAGTATATTTCTCACCTTGGGAGGTAAAGTAAAAAAGGCTTGCCCACGTGCAGAATTACCGGAGCCGAGCCGAAGGCGACGGTGGTAAGCACGTGGGTAACCCTTCTTTATTTTACCTTTCGTGGTGAGACCATCATTTTTCTCTCCGGCATAGGAGCAATGTCAGAAAAGTGTGTACTTTGTTCCCGCTGGAGAGAGAAAGTAATTTTCTGAAATAAATTTGGGTTTTTAAAAATTTATGTGTATTTTGTTTTTGGGGATTAAAAAAAAATGCTCATAGATTCGTGTTTGTTTATTTTTCTTTAAGCAAAATATGAAGTTCCCTTTACATGCATGTTGAAAAATTGCATGTGCTATTTTCAAGAATTTTCTTTCGAAAAAAATATCCGGAATGTCTGCAACTATGCCCAAAATAAAGATCGCACGTTCTTCGAAATTGCTTGGAAGGGATTTTGCCCAGAAAAAATTATCGGTGTTGCTTGGATCGTTATATATAATCCTTATATAAAAAATACATATATCTCGAATTGACATTGAATATCGATAATCGTTCAACTGCGATAATCGAAAGCGACATCTCTACCATACATCGCATCGTCACCTCATCACACTATACTATACACACATTTAATGGGGTCAACGTCCCGGCCGCTTGCGGCCGGGGCGGCGCTAGTATTATGAAAATTGAGATTCCCGATTACCTGGGTTCGGTGGCGGGGGGTCTTAACTCAACGTAAATACCGCGGTGAACTCTTATCGAAAAGATGGCTCTCAACCATATTGATTTTTCCGAAGCAATTTATTCGGTGTTTTTTCCCACCAATGGTTTATTCCAAATCAATTTTTCCGGAAGAATCTCTTCTGGGGAAGTTTTTCTCGAAAAATGAGCCGCAAGCTTGCAGACAAAAACTTTTTCACTGCATATCTCACGGTAAAATTGAATAATTCAAAAATTTACAATTTAATTTTACTGAAGGTACAAAATTTTGCTCGTGACTATGGCTGGATGTATAGAAATAATGATTGAATAGTGTTTTATTGCACAATTCATTCCGAGCAGAATCAACATGGCATATCTTAGTTTACTTAATGTGTTTTTTTTCTTTTTTCTACTCCTATCGTTAAAGATTCAATCCGCTGTCAAACGATAGATTTTTTTCAAAATCTATCCGGCGTATAAGAACACGAATTAGAAAAATTGAAAATGTCACGTTTAGAGAATTGAAAAATCTTCTCGGAATTATTTTCATTCTTCGTCATAAATGTTTAGTTCATGAGTTATGCACTCTTATTACTCATTTTAAACAATTGACACAGGATATCTTCAAGAAAAATATATTACTAAAGACGGAAATCAAATTAAAGGAAGGACTTTAGTCAAACCTTAATGTGAGAAGTCAAATGGAAGATCCCTCATCATTTCTTTCATTGAGATATCGGAGTTACTCAACGGTATACATACAACATCGGATAATTTCTGTGAAAACAGAAATAATTCGTATTTTTTAACTTTCTACGTGATTTTCAATTTTCCGTTGTTAATAGTGCCTTTAAGGGTCGATCAGGTTCAACTCGTCGCAAATTTTGGAACAAAAAATGCAACAAGTCTTATTTAGCAAACCAATATAAATAAAAAACATTTTCCATCAACAAATCTGAAATTTAACAACTCAACATAACCTCACTTTAACTTTGTGGTCCCGCCGCGTCCACAGCAGAGCTAAATATCTACTGCGTTTGCGCTACTCTAATCCTGACATATTACTACCCGGAGCGGCGTCTACACTACTTCAAATACATTCGCGTCTCAAATACTTTACATATAATCCTTTTTTCCCCTGAATTTTCTTATGCTTTCACTCATTACGATATTTGATGGAATTGGATATTGGTACCAAGAATTTTTGTATTTCCTACCCTTTTTTCCGTAATTGTTTTCTCAGCAACCAACGTGTCATTGTACTACTCCGAATTGTGATAATAAATATTGTTAAAATAGTGTTAATCTCCCCCACACTTAATTATGTTCAATCTCCATGGTGTGCAGAGGACAAAACTGACTTGAAAAATGGCCCTACGGCCAGCAATATTTTTCGAAGCATTTGTGAATACCTGAAAATTCTTAAATATCGTCGCGAAGTATTTCGAACCAATTTATTTTTTACCTGGCGGCACGATAACTGTAAGCTTAGGACAAAGATTCATGAGGGGATGATGAGTAAAGAGAAGAAGATACCAAAATCGGATGAGAATTCGCATACCGGACGTGTCAACGAATTCTGTAAGAGTGAGATAAATCCCAAGGAGTCAGAAAGCAAGGAGTTTTTTGAAGAATCTGAGAAGACAATTGAACGAATATTCACACGAAAATATTATCAGATGTTGGATCAGTCACACTGAAAAATGAATATATTTTATTTAAAAAGGAATTGTTTTTCGAAAAAATGCATGCGATTTTGAGGCAACAATACCCGTGACTCTAAACATCACATGCTCTCTGCAATTTAGTGGCCACAAGGAGCGCAGCTATGGCAGATTCACTGACTTCGTCTCGGGTAAGCAACGAGAATGGTCGAAATTTTTCAAAATCACTGGTAAGGTGCATAAATTCGAAACCCCTGTGAATATTTATACAACACTTGATGAGGTTTCTCACGATGTTCCTCTCATTTACCAACTGCGAGGTGAAGAGAGAACGAAACTCCAAGGACCCACGATGGACACAGAACTTGCACATGTGCATAAAAATGATTTGCACATTCTCTTGGGGTTGTTCAAAAGGCCAAATCCGAAATCGGAGAATGACTCCCATGCCAATTACATTCTGGATATTATTCTGAGGGTCAAGGTGTACCAGACATCATATATAAAATTCCCTCAAGATTTAAGGGGACACGTCAACAAGTACCAATCGACTGAATCCTCAGATTAATTGATGAAGGACGTCCTTCCATACGTTTGCCTTTGGTCAACCCTATTGGCTCCGAAGAAGAACATTTAGTTATCGCGTCTACTGAGAACCACTTCAGGATCATGAAATTAGATCAGGATGGGTTCTTGAAAGCCTTGAGATTCATCATCAAGGCTCATGATCACGTTCTAGCTGTATATAAGGAGTTGGATCTACCAACCCCAAAAGTTTCTGTCCCGGGAAGAGAATAAGCAAACCGGATAATGAGGAATCTCAAGAATATTGGAGACGTGGGCCGGCCCAACTTAAAAATAAAAGTAATTATCAACAAGGCAATAGAATCAGGAAGATTGCAGAAGTCCAGATGCAACGAGTTTTGGAATACAATGATAATCACACGGTTTCAAACCCAGTATTTTATCATTTTCCTAGCCTACCCCGACTGTTTTTTGTGGCCTCGATTAAAGCTAGCGATGGTTCTTCCAACATCAACGTTATGTCAGACGATTTTATTTGCATTTTCAATGGAAAGTGGATCATAGATACCCTGATTGTTTACTGAGCAGTGAAGATGATGAGGTCCTCGCAACGAAATCATGATCTAGCATATCGTAAATGTGAGATAAGTAAGTATTTCGTTACAGGCGTGAGCAGGAACAAGAAACAGTTACCCTCAGATTTTTACGTTGAGTTTTTACGTGACTTGTTGACTGGTAAATCAGACATTTTCCTTCCTTACAATGTTAATAATTGTCATTGGGCTTTGCTCCATGCTGACATTACAAATTCCACACTGTATTCTATTAATCCAGTTGGAAACCAATTGACGAGAAATGAGAGAACGAGATTCAACTCTTTCATTGATTGTTACAAAAAGGTAATAATATCTTGAGCTCTTGAAAATGACTTCTGTATATATTTACATTATATAAGCTTTCAATCATTCAGTTACAGATATTTCCTACATCACGAATTAACTGGTCCCTGAAAGTCCCCACTTAACAACAGCAAACGGACAGTTATAATTGTGGAATCTTTGTATTACATTCCATTGAAGAGATTCTTGCAGGAAATTTCTTTGGAATGACAACAGTTGATGCTGGTAAAAGTGGAGGACAATCAGAAAAGGGATTCTCCTTAATTGTGAAGATATCAGCACTCATTGTTTGCACTGTGAAAGAGATGAGACCGTGACAAATTGCTCAACTTGGGTCCAATGCAACTAGTGTAGTAGATGGGCAGAGTATTCATGTCTAAGATATCTTGGGATAGAAGAAGTCCAATTCCGTGACAGAGAATTCATCTTTACATGTGATCTTTGGATCAATTGGTTTTCATTGAGTCGCAACCCCGGAAATGAACGATTCCCACAAATATTAAATTAATTATCTACTTCACCACTAAATTATTCTCATCTCATGATTGATAAAACTTTTTTTGGAGAGTCGTTATAGGAAATTCTAATGAATCAGTAAAATTTATTGACCTGTCATTGTGGTAATAGAGTAACTAGAATGAGTAGTCTAGCGGCTGAATAAAAATAGCTATCATATTATATCAAGGAAAAATAGAAATAATAGAGCAATGGGACAACTGATGGAAAATCTTTCAGTTGAATCCTCGGTAGGCGGAAAAAATATCCCCGGAAAAAATAGCCCACACACCCAAAACGTGCTAAAACCCACCCAATTTGATAGACCATGGGAAAATTAGAGCCCCTGAAAAAATAGACAACGAAAAAAATAATTAAATTAAAAAATAATTAAATTGAGCGAGTTTTAACACGTTTTGAATGTGTGGGATGTTTTTTCCCTGGGGTATTTTTTCCGGGATTCGAATCCTCACATTGGGGTTTCATTAAAATTCATCGTTTAATTTAATTTTTATCTTCAGTCATATTTTTCTTGAAGATATCCTGTGTCCAAAAATTGTTTAAAATGAGTAATAACAGTGCATAACTCATGAAGTGAGCATATATGAAGAGGAATGAAAATAATCACGAGAAGATTTTACTTCTCTAAACGTGACATTTTGAATTTTTTGAGTTGGCCAGAATTGGACGGAGATCGATCGTTTGACAGCGGATTGAATACTTAGCGATAGGAGTAGAAAAAAGAAACAAAGAACACATCGAGATTTCACAAAATTGAAATCCCAACATTATTTTTTTTTCAATAAATTCAGTTGTAAACTAAGATATCCTTGGCGGACCGAGTTGAGAGTTAAACTCTTAAATATTTCCAGTATTTGAGAGAAAGTTGATAGAGTGTTTAGAGTTGGGGGTATGTTGTATTCTATGGCAATTACTAAACTTGAAACTTTCCGAAAGAGTTTAGCGTTGAATTTTTAACACTCAATTTATAATGTTTATGAACTTTTGCGGCGTGGAGGGGGGAGCAACATATGTTCTCTCAACTTTAAACTTACCGAAACCCTTTAGAGTTGAATTTTTAACACTCCCCAGCCCAAAAGTTAATAAACATTATAAATACTCAATTAATTTAATATTTGTGGGAATTGTTAAAAACTGAACTCTTTCGGAAAGTTTAGAGTTTAGTAATTGCCATAGAATCTAATACAGCCCGAACTCTAAACAATTTCTCAACTTTCTCTCAAATGCTGGAAATTTTTCTTAGTCTTACCGAACTCTAAACCAACTGTCAACTTGGTCCGTTAGGGATGCCAGGTTTATTCTATTCTGAGTAAATTATGCAATAAAACACTGTTCAATCATTATTTATATATATCCCGCCATAGGTACGATTAAAATTGTGTACCTTCAATAGAATGAAATTGTAAATTTTTTAATTATTCAATTTTACCGTGAGATATGCAATGACAATGTTTTTGTCCGCAAACGTTAAGTTCATCTCGAAAAAATATATTCCGAAGGATTTTTTAAGGGCCTTTTACCTAAAAATTTTGCCGAAAAAAAATTCTCCAGGCGAATTTTGTGCGGCTTTTGGCATTTACGCATCTTTGCTGGCGAGTTGACGATGTATATATACATCGACATATATATACATAACAGCTGTGTCCTTCAACATGGCGAACGTTCGAGTTCTCGGTAGATTTGCCAACAATGTTTTGAGTGAGTAAAAACAATCGGAAAAAAAATCCAGACTAGAAAACACATCAGTAAAATAAGAGTCACTTACACAAGTAACAATTTTTCCATAAACAATAAATTACATGATATTGTGTAATCAATTGGATTACTCCAGTTTGAGGTTATCTCTGCGACAACAGAGCTGCCGAAAATGTTCAGTAAAAAGTGACGGAAAAGGGAAAAGAGAATAATATGATTTCAATTATTCATTTTGCAGCACAGAGATCTTTGAAGGTTGCTCAGACAGCAACAACATGTCAACCTTCGCGAAATAAATACTACATCATTACTCCTTCCGACAGCTCATCCTGGCCAAATGTACATCCAAACGAATCAATCCATCTTTATTTGCGAGAAATTGGAAATGGATTCCTTGTTACGTTATCTGCGTTATTTAAAGAGCCCGTTACTATCAATTATCCATTCGAGAAGGGACCACTGAGTCCAAGGTTTAGGGGAGAACATGCACTCAGAAGGTACCTGATACAATTTCACACTGAATTCATAAACTCGTCATGATTTTAGTTAAATAATTCTGCGCAATAGCCCAACAACTTTGGTTTTCTGCAGAAGTCCCTGTTACGCAGAGAATTATGCAAATCCCAATTCTCCACACGGAAAATTGTATAAAATATTCTTCTTGTCGAAATCGTTAATATAAATTTCTCTTTCGAAAAGTAGTTCACTCTTACAAATTTTATAAAACTGTAAAATTTTGATAAATATGTTATTGAATTGTGCGAATCATGCAGCTGACTACGGTTTAGATGGAGAAAGAATATTCTACTTCAAACGTTTCTATAAAATTGATTATAATTTGGCATTGAATATTCATATTATATTGGTAACTCAAATAAATCGAGCTGTTTCCGTTTTGATGTTCCCTGAAATTGAAATTTTACTCAATTTCCAATGTTGGAAGATACTTTAGTAGCTGACCACGTTTTAACCAATAAACTCTTTTTCAAGTTTTCTTCTTGAATCGCTTATTGTCGACCTAGTCGGCAATCTTTTATTAAATTTTCTAAGTTGGTTAAGACACATTCAAGTAAGAAATCGCATTGCAAATTGTTTAGTAATGTTTTTTGAGATGATTATTTTGCCAAAATTCAAAATTATAATGCATATCACTTGCGTTTATCTGCATTACGTGAATTAGGATGTCGGAAAATAGTCGTCCGACAACGTAAGTTGTATTTTAAGGGAACAGTTTATTGAGATGAGTGAATTCGAGATTTTTAAAATAGATATCCATCGGGAGAGGAGAGATGCATTGCTTGCAAGCTCTGTGAAGCCATCTGCCCAGCACAGGCTATCACAATTGAAGCTGAAGAACGAACTGATGGCTCGAGAAGAACAACTAGATACGATATTGATATGACTAAGTGTATTTATTGTGGGTTCTGTCAGGAAGCCTGCCCAGTAGATGCTATAGTTGAGGTTAGTTTCATTACATTCTGTCGACATTTACAATTCATTTAATTTTATAATTGTGGGAGCTCAGTGAATTTTACATTTCGATTAATTATTTAGTGTTACTTCAGATTTAATTTTTGAAGTGTAGGAGAAAAAAGGACCATTTTTTAGATAAAAAAATCCATTGCAGTAAACGACATTCACAATCGTAATAATTTGGAAAGTAGCAGATGGATTTTGGATAGAATCGTTAACCCATTTCATTAAAAAAATGTTTATTTTTTCATCTTATTCCGTTTTTTGAACGCTAAGAGGTTGAAATAATCCACGAAGTTTCTTTATTAATTAATGAATTCATTCAAAATTTTCAAATTTTGAATTTTCAGGGGCCCAATTTCGAGTTTTCGACAGAAACCCACGAGGAACTGTTATACAACAAAGAGAAACTTCTGAACAATGGAGACCGATGGGAATCTGAAATTGCTAGTAACATTCATGCCGATCATTTGTATCGTTAATCAAATCTGATAGATGCCTAGTCGTTGTCCTTGGGCAATATAAAGGGAAAAATCCTTGGTGTTTTTCATTCTCAAGGAAAATAAAATTTTTGAACTTCACCAACAAATACCTGTAAATTAATACAATGCGGATATGTTTATGGAATAAATGAAGTAGAGTTTAAATATTGCAGTTGTTCCGTTTCTTCATTTAAAATACGAATATTCACTTCGCAGATTTATTTCATCAATGTACATAAATATTCTAATAGCAAGACGAATGGCTTTTATGATAGATAATGTGGAAATATGTATAGATACACGTGGAATTGCAGACATTTACACGGATTTTCTTCAAGAAAAGGATAAAAGAAAGAAGCATGGCACATGCGTGACGAATACAAATATCACAAATTGATTTTTCAGCTTACAAGACATGTGATACACACGATATTACATAGATATTTCGTTGACACTATAACTCGTTTAAAATATTTGATTTCACTTAGTTTCCAAAGCAACATAATATTTTTCTTTGTGATTGGAATTCATCGTTGATTAGATGGGAATGGAGAAATCAATAGAAATATATTTTGATCAGATTATTTTTCATATGGAATTGATAATTCGTAAGGAGAGAAACAGTCCCTGGGAACGATAGATTTTTCACTCATGCTTGTCTTATCCACAATATTTTATTCTATATATCAATATTGAATCTAGAAATGTATGATTTCATTTATTAATTTCATTCAAAAAATCCTAGCTACTCACAGTATCAAAATATTTAATTAAACTGGCCAAAAAAGGAATGAAAAACTTTTAATGAGTTTCTTCCTATTTTCCGGCCATTGAGGGTTTTTTAATTATTTTTTATTATTTATCGTTCTCGCAGTGTCCAGTGGGCCTGACTCATATCATTTTACATCATTCTTCAGGAATGTCTGCCGCCAAATACTGCTGTTACTTTATTTATCAAATATTCGGTAACAATGTGGAAATATTTTCTCGCCAATTGTCAGTTTAATCGTAGCATCGATCGTAGACACGTCATCGCGAATGTATAATACACAGTTGAAAAATATTACATTAATCGATTTGCTGTCAATTCCTAAATATTTCAACGAACAAAAATTTGGTTTGCTGATAAATTTAATGTGATAATTAATGTAACAATTGCCCACTGCGTAGAAAAAAAAACATACTGAGTTTCATTGGCCCCGTGGATCTCTGACGACTTCATGCACTGATTATAAAAACATCATTATGCTTTGAACCGCATGCTGGTGAAAATTCGTTTGAGCAATAAATTCGAGGATCCGGCAACATGATTTACTATTATTACAAGAATAATATCCACTCCGGAACAGCAAGTGATACCAAATAATTCGACTAATTTAGCTACTTTCTGCAACACAGAAATCTAATCTCAATCAAAAATGATTGAATCGAAAAAAAAGAACAAAAAAACATACACATTTGGATAAGCAATGTCTATACCCGACGTTGTGAATTCATTGTACATATTTACAATCAATTATTCGTAGACTTAATTTAAGCTTATCCCTGATGGACTGAGTGAAAATTGAAAATTAATTATTCAATAATAAGTGTAGTAAACGCCGGTGCGAGTAAAATTTTGTGGTGAGTAAATTATACATGATTGTTTTAGACTTCAACATATCGCATTAGCGTTTAAATAAAATTTCCCTAATTCTCAATCCATTGATGGCTTTGTACGTCTACGATGATGATTACGTGCCAGGGCGTGAATTATTGTTATAAGGAAGTAACATATCATCAGCATCACAAATTTTTCGAAAAGCCACGCTATCGTTGTTGTCCCCTCCTGCAAAATTTAAAATTATTCATTCAATCAATCGTATTTTCCAGTACATCTCAAATTAAACTAAAGATTAAACTATAATTACACTTGTGAGAAATTATCAGTTTTTCTAGATTCTCTTATTATGAATATTCTTAAATAGTCCAGTAGTGAACTGAAAAAAAAATAATTTCCCTTGACGATAAATTTTATGGAAATATTTGGGCCAATTTTTCAATTTTCATTAAATTTCAATATTTGAGAAAAGATTTGATAATGATTTTTAAACTTACCATAGAGGATGAATTATGTAATTTATTTTTCTGCTCAACTAAATATTTCTTAAACGGCTCCTGAAATTTGGTGCCCACGTAAGGAATCGCAGCCAAAAGTCCAATAGCCTTATCCAACAATTCTTCATTGAATGCTATTATCACAGCCAGCTGTTGAATATGCATTTTAATAATGGCTTTACCGATGAGCGTAGCACCGAAGAAAGTCCAGAATGGAATGCGATAATGACCACAAGTCAACCCAGCAAGGTCAAAAAGTGGATTTGGAATCTAGAGAAAAAGACCAAAACTGTAAGTCAAAGGAATTCAACGAGTTCGAGAATTGCGAATAGACAATTTTTCAAAAATACCGAGGCGCAGGCAAGGATCCCCAAGAATCCAGCCTTCTGCACGAAGTGCTTCATAGCAAGTTTGAGCCTCATGAGAAGAGGAACATTGGCTCCACTCTCCAAAGCCTCGAGTGCCTCTAACTCCTTCAGGTCCTCCTGATCATGTTCATGATTCTTATCAGTCTGTCGACTATCCCGTGCGGCCCTAGCCATAAAATACGGTGGAAGTTCTCCAAGAGCAGTTCCTGCACCCCAGAGCATAGCCTCAACTCTGACTTTCCTCATAATATTGAGGATTCCAGCAGTCCAAGCCGGATCAATCTCATCTGGGCAGACGATGGAATCAGGATACGGTGGTTCGGGGAAGTTAAGCCCACCACACTCATAAGCAGCTATCGTAACAGCTGCTATGTGAGGGCCCAGATAAAGCACAAAAGTATGTAAACCAGTGCCAAAACCCACACTCGATAACACGCCAAGGCCCACCCAATAAAGCCACCAAAGAAGACTATTCTCCCACTCTTTCAACAGCTGTTGATAAGGCCCTGTTACATGTCTAAAGACAACTAACACGGTGATAACAAGTAATCCACTCCAAACAATCTTCTTGTACTGCAGCATTCTGTGTGCTAAACTGACGATATTAATGAACAGTTCTCTCATAAAATAATTTAACGTTGTGATTGGACGATGCCAGAGGGTTAAACTGTCTGGATCCATCGAGTCTGTTCCAGATTTCGCTCTGTTCTTCGATTCAACTGACCCATCGTCATTCAATAATTTTTGGGCACCATTAGAATTACTTGACTCCTTTCCTCTACGAAACGTTCTACCTTCCATGTTCTCCTCTAATCGAGCTATCTGAAATCAATTAATATTTATTTATTATTTCATTCGTTAATTTTATAATCAACGAAGAAAATTTTAAAAATTGGTTTTTGATAACTGAAAGAAAATTAATTGGAAAAAATTAAATAAGATAGAAGAGGTAAAGAGGCTTTCAACAAAAAATAAATAGTGAATAGTGAATAATAATGAAACTACATATTTACGTCTGATTCACTGGGACTCATTTCGATAATCAAGCAATCATCAAGTCTATCACAGTCCAAAGGCGCAAATAATACATTTTTATTACAAAAATTATCAACACTAGTACGATTGTACATTTATATTTACTGTTTAAGCTAAATTTAAATGGTTGAAAGACCAGAGAGGGTTACAATGACTACCATGTGGGGAGTAATTGAAATCAACAGTAAGTCGTTCTGAAGCCGTGGCATGGCGAGGAGTCGGAGGTCATTACGTGTCAAGGGTCATATCCCTTGTTTTTTCCCCTCCTCTTGTTCCCCCATTTTCGTAAATTTGTATCAGTCCATCTACTACGGTAGCTCCTACCAAAGTCTATTATTACTCTAATGGGTTTATCTACAACTATGTTAATTTAAACTTGCGATAAATTATCCACGTTATCGTGGTTGCCAACTTTGCAAATAAAGGCGCATAAATAAAGTAATCGGTAACTCAGGGCGGCTGATTCGTTATTATCACAGTAGTGGAGAAAATTTCTGGATGATAAAAAAAAAAATAAATAAATTTGCAATGAATAATTGGAGATGGTAATGATGTGTTGGTATACCTAGAAAAGGAAATTTTGCAATGAAAATAGGATTTGCGTAGTTGTTTGGTGTTGATTGATAAATGATTAAAATATACATCTGCATGATGGGTGAGAAAAATAAATCATGCGTTTAGACACATATTGTACCATGTCAGCTTTGTTTCCAGAGACTGGTAGACCACGTTCTCTCAGTACGACTTTAAGACGATCCCTTGTCATTCCTCCAAGATCGGTGGCATTTAATTTCGTATTTATTTCTTGTCCAGGACTGTATCGATCCTCAGTATTACCAGCTCCACTGGACTTTCTACCTACCCTTGTTCTCACCATTGCCACGCTATTTATTTATTAGATTAATATTACTCTTCTCGATTTCCTGGTGGTCAATTGAGCCGACAATGATTTATTTATATGATTATCCTTCTAATTATTGTAATGATTGCAACAGATGTACGTGCTGCCAAGTGTCAACCATTGGGACAATTCAATTCTGTGAACTTGATGGATTACATTGAAAAACTTCCAGAAACTCCATTATTTCTTTGAGGTTATCCTTCAATAAAAATTCGTAGGAGAATAAAAAGATGAAGTCACAAAGTTTCGAATTAAGTGGAAAATTTCACATAACCAAGAAGTGAAAGGCATGAAAAGAGTGAAAGTGTACATTCAATTGTAATAGTTTCACTCAAGTAATGAGAGCCATAAGAAAGAATGAATATCCAATAAGAACCTAATGAGTCAATAATGATTTAAATGAAATAGTCAGAACAAAGGGATTATAAAGCACCAGAGATAAAGGGACACGTAGGAGGTAAATTGAGGCAGCTGATTCGACAGTTTCACAAGAAAAAGAGGAAAAGAAATAGAGAAGTCCACACTTTTGAACAATTAAATAAAAATTACCTTTTTTGACGATTGAATATTTGCTACTTAATGATATTTTTTAATTTTTATTTTTTGGCGGGTTGTCAGTCTCCTAGTATCATTTATTGAGGATGAGTTGGTGATACAATATAATTGTTGAGTTACACGATTTAAAAGCCACGTCGGTCACACACTCTTAAAGTCACGAACGGGTACATTCGAATGATCCACGATTGGTTTTAACTCGACATTAATAACTTACAAGTGTCGTATGCCACTAATGCCTCTCTTTTTTTTTATTTCCTGTACCTAGTATGTAGCGTGATAGTTATAACAGTTTTACACTTATTTATACTAACATGTAACAGAGATTATATTGCTAACGCCAATGGCGAGGGTTCAGCCGCAAAATTTCCTAGCGGTACTGGCCGAACTAATGTTGAGGACGTACCTGTAAGTCAAACAGGTCGCGAGGCCGAGAGTGTCGATAATTTTCAGAGCCCGTGAGTATGGATAAGACAGAGTGCGAGTCCGAGAGTGTCGATAATTCGAGGAGGCCCTGAGGGTCTAAGGTAGGGCACTTATTGGAATAACGATGACGTCCGAAAACGAACGAAAACATCCAGCATATATAAAGTGGTGTGGGAGCGATGGAGACGCAACCATTATAATCTCTGCACACGGCATCTTCGAATTATCGACACTCGGACTCGCACTCTGTCTTATCCATACTCTCGGGCTCAGAAAATCATCGACACTCTCGGCCGAGCGACCTGTTTGACTTACAGGTACGCCCACAAAATTACTTTGGCCAGTACCGCTAGAAAATTTTGCGGTTGAGCCCTCGCCATTGGCGTACTCTGCTGTGCGTGCCATGATACTTTCCAGTCAATGCTTTTTTACTGAAGGAAAGGAATGGGTAACTGCAGTCTATCTATTCTTTGGTGTATCGTGTCCATGACACTTGTGAACGCCGCCATGACAGTGCTTTCGTTTTATATACGTTAGGAAAAAAGATAAGGCTTGGAATAAGGAAATTCAAAACATCAAGTCCGTGATAATCGATCTTAATTCCCTGAATCGAACATGAATATTAATCAAGGTGAACACGGCTATTGAAAACGACTAAAGTAGTATCAGCAGTATCAGAGGAAGATTTTATCCAGTAAGTGTCGTATATAGTTTAAAGTTGAACGATCTTGTGTACAAGTTTTTTTGAGGTTAACAGCAGACATTTTGCTTTCCTTATTTCTAATGTAATAGCGCTTTTCGTGACACGTTACTCTACAAAGTTATGTGTGTGCGTTTTTTTCGAAGTGATTGTATTTTGTTCTGGCATTGATTGATTTGTTTGTCGGGTTATAAGAAATGTTGGTAATAAAAGGATAGCCTTCCGCGTCTATTCGCCAATTGATGCAGTCGTGCTTCTTGGACAGTTTTGTTTCGGAATAGTAAGTGTTTTTTCGTCACACAACCGTTGTTGATTTATTTACAACTCTATAAGGTTCTTTGATTATTTTCCTACTTTTGTGTAAACTTTTTCTCGTACAGTTGCCGATTGCAAATTGCCAATGAGCCGAGTTTAAGATGTGGAGAAGCTGCTCCAAACAGCAAAACTCGATGATCTGTTACCATTTATCAGTACTATTGCTTTTTCTACGGCAACCTGCTGGATTACTGTTTTCTGGTGGTTATATTAGACAAGTACATGCTAAAAACACTCCACTCCCTGTCATTAAAAAAACCTTCAACTTTTTTCGGAATAGAATTCGACAAACATGTAATTATTTCAAACGGTGAGTTCCATATGAACGTTTCTCAGGACCCGGGTTTTTATAATTCGAGAAACGTATAGAAATTAGGAAGAATTAAAGGACCTTCCTAGGAAAGTGAAATCATAACATGTCACGAAAAGCCTATAATATATTGGCAAGGAATGAAAATATAGAAAAGAAAAAAAGATCGGAAATTAACCACTGAAAGTTTATAGTTTTTGTGGTGAAAATTTTCAACTTCCAGTTTTATTGGTGAATTCTCAGGAATTAATCCAACGCGGCATTGAAGATTGCAATCAAATGAAAACAAACAACAAAAACAACTAATTCTTTTAATGATGGCATCTCTTGGGTAACTAAGATTTTATGGAAAAAATCTACAAATTCATAATCTGAAAATCATTATCCTGATAAGAATTAGTAAAATTTTACTCCATCAGCCCGATTTTGGTGTGATCCAACGTGATGGAAAAAATTGTATTAACGTCGATGAAAAATATTCTACGTGAATTTCCCAGAAATATGAAATTTTGTTTCGCTTATGGCTCTGGTGCATTGAAACAAAAAGTCGATGTATCTCAGAATATGTTGGATCTTATCTTCGTTGTAAACAACTCCAGACAATGGCATGCTGAAAATATGGAGAGACATCCAGATCATTATGCTCAACCACTTCGTTTTCTCGGTCATAAGGCAGTAACAAGAATTCAGGAAACGTGGGGAGCGAAGATTTACTACAATACATTGATAAAATCGAGTGAAGGACGTTTGATCAAGTATGGAGTGATATCTGAAATATCACTTATGGCAGATCTTCTCGATTGGAACTTTTTATACCTGGCCGGGAGGCTTCATAAACCTGTGGAAATCCTGGTGGAACCTGATGAAAGATCACAGTTACGAGCAGCATTAGTTCAGAACCTACATTCCGCAGTCCATGCGGCTCTTCTTCTTCTTCCTGAGAATTTCACTGAGATTGATTTTTTTAGAGTTATCGCAGGATTGTCGTACCAAGGTGATTTTAGAATGATATTTGGAGAGGATAGATCCAAGGTAGACAATATAGTTGTACCCCAGATACAGCATTTTCGCCAGTTGTATGGACCAGTTCTCAAGCACTTTGACAATTACCTTGAAATACCAAAAGATTCAGATGCTTCAACTACATGTAATCAGGATACCAGTCCGACCGCAAGAATTCATCATTTGAATCAGTTGCCAAGAATTCCGCAGATGCAGCTGGTTAGGATCTGGTCCAGAGGTCCACGGTCTAAGGACACCGAAGATTGTCTTCGCGCCATTGCACATGATCCGGATTGCAGTTCGATCCTCTTGCAAGTCCTTCAGAATATTGTTTGGAAGTCTAGTATAAATCAAAGCGTAAAGGGCATTTTCACTGCTGGACTTGTCAAATCTATTAAATACAGTTCTGCAAAGATTATGAAAATGCTAAATTCAATATCCTCTAATAAAACACAATTGAATATTCCCATCCAGCGTATGGGAAAAGCTGATCAGCTTGCACATAGTTTGATTAAAAAAGGAAGCGATTCCAAGCTACAGAGAAAATGAAAAAAAAAACGAGGGATAAGATCCATTCCTACATGTGAGACTATATCGATATTGTATTCTATTTCGTAATGAAAATAATAAAATATGTTTTAACCAGCTTCTGGAATTTTATTTCAATTCTATTAGCGAATAATTTAAACTAATTACTGTTTCATCCGACATTCAGCGCGATAGATCTAATAATATTAAAACCTGGTATTATTTACAATGAGTTTGTTAGTTGTAATATTGTTTATGAGGAGTTACAGAAAACTAAATTGGTATATACAACATTGGGGTAATATTTAGGAACTATAATGTCAATATCATTTCCCTCGTGATTCATGTCGATAGATTTTGTTCGAATTTACCAAAAAATGTCAAATTCTGACAGATTCTGACAAATTCTTCGCTGATGGAATTGCCAGAATATATCACATTACATTAGAATCTGTCAAAATATGACGGAATTCGAGGTATTTTATCACTAATGGTCGAGGAATTTTGTGTTTTGCGAACCGATATTTTAGAAAATGCTATAATTAAGAGAAAAATCTATATCAATTTCACAAATTTTCATAGAATTTGTCATCATTTCGCATAATTTGTTCTTGGAATTTACTTTCTTTATGTGACATTCGCCATTTGATCATATTATGACAAGTCCTGCAAATTTATGTTTGAATTCTTAATATTTGTTATTTTTCCACATAAAAAAAAGAAATTTCTCTCATTGACATTATCGGCTTGCAAAATTTTCACCAGGGGTTTCCTGACTGCTTCGAGGGAAAGATAAGTTATCAAATTCGTTCAAACTGAGATTCGTCAATATATTTGTTTAAATATATTTGTTTATTGAAAAATGACTTGCTTTGTCACTATATTGTGTAGAAAAATTTGTATTCATTCAATTCAATAATTATGGATCGCTTGTTTGTTTAGGTTTTGAATGACCACCATGGGTTCTGACTCAGAAAGCCAAGATAGTGATGAAGGACGCCGCTTTCGTTTCGAAGCCACACGAAAAGACACAATAACTGATGTTCAACGTCACAGAACAAGTACATCCCCGCAGTGCAATACATCAAAACATAAAACTAGGGATAAATCTAGGGATAGGGCGAGATACTCGCAATGGAAAGGAACTCGCAGAATTCCTGATTCCACGAAGGAGCATGCAGATGATCGTAATAAATGTGAAGAACGGCGAAGTTTCAAAGAAGAAAAGACCACGAGTGGTGATTCTAGAAGGAAAAGGGAAAGTGGAAATAAAGATATAGATGCCAAGAAAACATATAAAACTTCAAGAGCTTGTGAAAAAATGGATTGCAGTAGTCGAGATGAAAAACGAAAAAGATCTCATGGTCGAAATCGGGACAAAAAAAACAGTGATAAATTGCGAAAGTATTCGCGGGAAAGAAATAAATTAAGTCAGAAGGAAGAATCGTTTCGACTCCAAAAATCATGCGACCAGAAGATAAAAAACCAGGATACAGAAAAGTTTAAAATTATTGATTTAAAATCTGATTCTCAAGATTGTAAAGACTTGAATCTTTCAGATTTCGATATTGTATCCGATACTGAAGAAAATCTTGGTAAATCTGAGGAAATTATCGAACCGGAGAATTACCAAATGAAAAATCGACACCGTAATGAAACAAATAATCAAAAGGTAAAATTGAGAAATGGTGATGAATCATCGGGTTCATATTTAAGTAATCCTGATGAAATTTCAGATTTTGTATTAACGCCAACGCCAACAAAAACCGTTAGCGCTATTTATCATGATAAACTGTTATGTAAAAATGAGGAGGCAGGGTTTCCTAATTTGAATCCGAAGGAATCTGACCAAGATGTGAATAAACATGACAATATTGTCAAAAAAATCTATGGGCCCGCTTTACCACCCAGTGTAGAATCGCTAAAGTGTAATGCATTGAAGAACATTCCCCCAAATTTGTCAAGTCATTTGAAAAATTCTGTTATTCATGATGACAATGATAAAGCAGATAATACATTTGGTCCTCATTTGCCGCAACATTTTCGAAAGAGTGAAAAAATAACTGATGACAATGATTTGCAAGATGCTACGTCGGCCGAGACCACTGAGGATGATGATGATGGATTTGTAGGCCCACTGCCTACCGACCATCCAAGATTGAAGGATGATTTCGTCCAACAACAACTACAATACAGGGCGCAACTCCTAAAGAAACAATTAGCTGAAATCGTAAGTAAGATGAAGAAATCATGTCCTTTATCTATACAGTAGAAGAGGGTGAGTTATACTTTACTACGTTAGAACTACAAAGAAGCACTTTTTGCCGAGTACACCGAAAAAAAAACAGTTTTTTGAAAAGGGCGTGCTTGCATGAAAAAACTTATATCAAACAATTTCGAGTATGTGTTCCTTAATGCAAGTAAAGACGCAATTGTTAAATCAATTTTTTATTCTCAATGCGTGACGGTTAGAGTCCGAGTCGAAGGTGAGAGCTCTAATGAGACCAACTAAAAAGTCCTTTTTTCACATCTATCGTACAAGATTTTATAATACCGGTGACAAAAAAAAAGTTCTTCGCAGCCTAAGTGTGCGAATAAGTGCTCCTTTTCCTCGTTTGTATATTAAAATCCTCGTCCACAAGATTTTCATCTTTTGAACGAGAAGACATTTTCTAAATAATCAATTCTAAACAAATATATTAGGAATTCAACTTGATTTCAAAGTGCTGGCCTAGCTATTTGAACTACTTCAAAGAGGGTCCATTGTATCGGGTAATAAAACTTTACCAAATTGTCCAAACTGTCCAAATTGTTTTTGATATAGGAGCTTTCTTTCTATATTTATTATAACATTCTCATAACAATTCTCATATTGTTGGAGGAATTATTTTTTTCAAAATTTTGATCATATACATCCAAAGTCGTTTTATTTAAATTCAATGGGATTTTTAGTCTGTCAAGATTTTGTGATGGCTCAAATCGATTTCGAGCTGAAATAAGACTCCCGCTCGACAATGAACCGTGAAATAAAAAAAAGTCTGGAATGGAATCCGCGGGGAAACAAACTCACGATCCTCCCACTTGCCACTCATACGACTTAAGATAGTTCCATAGCATTTAAGTAGGACAAGATGACAATGTGCTACTACTTTAAGATTTCTAGAATATGCTGTTTCGGTAATGAAAAATATGTCTCCAAATTTCCAAAGCAGTTGATCTTATAGATTTTCGAGAAAAAACAATTAAAGATATGGGATTAGCACAGTCTTATAGGACACCATTTTCAAAAATCAATTAGAAATTATTCACAATGGACTAAAAATCTGGAAGGTCGTAGTATCTTGCCGTACATATTTCTGAATCCGAACCGTGCATTTTAATTTTTTTTTACAACGTAGATTCAAAATAATATTGATTATTTACTCTGTCAAAATTTCGACCAACAGAAACGACGCATTTAATCTAATTGGTCGGAAGTGAATGGGTATTATTTCGGATATTTTTCGAATATTGCCTTGATAGTTGCGATCAGTAACGAATTTATTTTGTAAACAATTAAAATGGCCTCATAAAACTTCACAACAGTCAAACTTTCATAATGTGAATGAACCAAATTTGGAAAATGAATGGATTTCGGGACAATTTCTTAGAAACTATGAACAAATCGATCAAAATGTCTCTCAAAATACCAAATGAATTGAATTGGTTCCCAATTAGATTGACTGCGCTTTTCTGATTGCTCGAAATTCCGACGGGAAAATAATCCAACAAAAATTCCTCGAGCGTCAAAATTAATCGGGTATTTCCCTGATGCTTCCCTGCCAATAAAAGAGGGTGTCAAGTTTTGGCGGGTAAAAAAACTTGAGCGCTTGCGCAGGGAATTTTTCGAGAAAACTTGACATGATAAATCGCTGCTTACTTTTATCTTTCCAAGTGTTATTTCAATCTACAATTAATTTCATAATCTTGGGGCACTAAATTGAACACACGGCACCCACACTGTAATCCTTATCTTTTCCCTTATTTTACGCTTAACAAACATTCCTAAACCTATTCAAATGAAACGTGAATACTGCAAACGCGCCACCTGACGGGAGTAAAATATAAATGTTTATGTTGACATAAACCGCGCAGAATTCCTCTCCTGACCTTTCTATAAATTCGTGCTAAGACGCATACTACACGGAGAGAAAAATACATCACTATTTCGTGTGAGTCCATTCAAAAATTAGTGTGCTATTCACCAACCCATGGGACGAAACCGTGGTCCACAAAAAATTCGGATGTGGCGCCCCAATTTTTAAGGGAGTCTCACGGAAAAGTAGCGTAAGTTCTTCAAAAAATAGGGTGCCACATCCGAATTTTTCGGGTGGGTCATTCGAATTTTTTGTTGACCACGGTTTGGTCCCATGGGTTGGTGAATATCACACTAATTTGTGGTAGAATTTTTTCTCAGTGTACGATAAATTGCATAACATGGTATGAGGTATACCGGACCACAATGATACCAACTTCATCAGACGAAAATGCGTTGTTGCTAAACGTACCGTGAAACATTCAATGTATATGTGCATTTATATAAATAATTGTAGAGTGAACAATCCTTTCATGTCAATGTATTCTTCATGAAGAATAAAAACATAACCCGATTGAGACAATTTTGATATATTTATTGCTCATTACGTATTTCATTTTTTTTTCTTTTGTATATTGCAGCGAAGAGTCGGAATGTTTGATGCTTCTCCCCATCCTCTGCCAATCATCCCCAATTTCTCCGATTCACTTAAGTTGAGCGTCTAGTTATTGACAAGAGTGGATTAGATGGGAGAATAAGAATACCTTAAGCTAGTCTTGACCAGATTCCTTGTTCGCTCTAGAAATATTTCAAGCCCCATGGCCCGCCGTGGAGACGATAAGTTAGTGAATAATATTCCATATATTTTGAAATGAATAGCTGTAGAATAGCCGCAGAGGTATCACTCTTCGTGTCTCATCACGTGAGAGTTAATGGTGAGCTGAGGCGTTGTGGTACTATAGTTATGACAGAAGAATCTGATTAGAATCAAATTAAAATCAAACAACAACAAATTCAGTCATCTCTGTGTGCCCATTATCGTAAAATATACCGAAATTTTTTCTTTGGGACCGACCCCAGTGCCACGTGGTCATCGTGGCCTTGGCTAACGCAACAAGCGGTTTTGAAAAATCCTATCTCCGAAACTATTTGTTTTCTCTAAAAATGGTCTCCTTAATTTCAATGAAGTGATGGAAACCTACACATTCCACTATAAAACATCTAGATTGATTAGGGGGCCTACTGGACATTTACTCAAAATTCTTTCTCTTAAACGATCAATTATGTTCAGCTTACAATTTGTTTTTTACATATCGCAATTTGGTATTTCCTTTTTTTTCACAAATGTTACAAAAATGTTGTTCTTAAAGGATGATGAAGAATTGCCGAAGAGAGAAGAATGGATGACGGAATTACCTACAATTAAGGGAGTCAATTTCGGACTGGAAGCAAGAAAATTTCGAATGAGAGCAGGGCCAGATTTAACAGATAGATCTGATTGGACGGATTCTCCTGCGGATCGTGCGAAGAAAAAATCTGCAACAAGCAAAATGGCAGGAAATACTGAATATTTCCAAGAAATTCGACGACCGTTGGCAAATAAGAAGAAAGAAAAATCATTGTTGGACATACATCGAAAGAAAATACATGCAGAAAGAAAGGTAAAGAAATTGTAAAGTTGATTATTATTCAATTTCACTGAAAACCACAGTGAATGTTAAGAAAGATAAACGTTTATGGTATCTAGATTTTCTGCCGTTTGAAGCGTTTTTTCTGTTTTTTTTTTGCTTTGAAACGGACGATTGTGATGGACCCGACAAATTCAGCACCCGTGCGAACACCACTCGGATAATTAGGGAAATAAATAAGAAATTAAGAATTGTAAAAAATTGTGCCAGCAGGCGGGGAGGTAACGAATGAATAAGAGTGTGAATGAGGAAGTGCAATAGCATAGGAACCTGACAATAGTTATCAGGAAATAGCCAGCATAACGTATAATAGTTAGCAATAGACGACGGAAAAATTGAGTCTGTAGAGGCAGCGGGAAAGGACGTACCGGGAATACCGTGGAGTGCCCAGGAGTTATCTGCTGAATACGTGCTCGGCAAGGTTCTCCGGCCTTGACAGAGCCTAGCTTGCCAGAGGCTAGGGAAACTGCAGTGCAGGCAAGGATCTGTGGAGGAGGAGACGCGCGGTTAACTGGGAGTCGTGAATCCCACCCCCAACTGTCGTGGGGATGGACCGCCGTAGACGGAAGACCTCGTCACCGTAAGAAATCCACCTCCGCGTCGGTATCCAGAAAAGCAAAGTACCACGTGGGAAATCTTCCGGGGGCAAACCGCGCATACACTTCTCCGGTCTTGGGTGACTCGAGGAGAGGATGAGACGGGAAGGAGAAAGAGTGGCAGAGTATCAGGAGTGGGCAGCTGTACCGGGGATGCCCTGACCCCTTGCGACGATTCTGTCGCCTATGTGGCGAATCGGCAGTTTCGACGCGGAGGGCTTATACTGCCAACGGGAGGTGCCGCACGTCTACCTCGCCGACACGCCAGTGAGTGGCCCGGGGAATAATAGCTCCTGTGTGATCGCCAAAACCACAGGGGCGATCCATGCTACGATTGTCATCGTTGTTCAACCCTTCCGTGCACTGATCGACTCCGGTGCATGGCAATTTTCATAAGGTCAACGAGATCACCACGAAGGTTGCTTACTCTATCTCCAGTATGAAAGGGATTTTAGATGAGTTGAGGCAGAGCCGGTATCTCACCACCTTGCTGCTGATCTAGGCGTACTCCCAAGTACCCCTGACCGAGGCATCCGGGGAGGCCTTTATCCAAGGGCTTTATCATTTCCAACGGCTAATCGACCGTTTGATTGGTCCCGGGATGTAGCCACACGTGTTGGTACCTGGATGACATCATCATCATCAATTTTGACGAGTATCTCCAGTGGCTGCTGCGGGTGTTAACGAAGATCAGAGAGGCAGGGTTAATAATTAACCGGGAAAAGCGATTTCTGTCCCTTCCAGGTTAAATACCTGGGGTTCTTGGTCAACGAGAAGGGACTCCAAGTCGACCCGGAGAAAACTTCTGCAATCGTCGAGGCCCTATTAGTCCCATGGTACCGGCGCTTCATACCGATGTTCGCCAGCATAGCGGAGTCACTGACCAGATTTACCAGGAACAACCAGGCCTGGCCAGAGAGTACCGAGCAGAATGGAGCCTGCGAGTTATTAAAGAGTTACCTGGTGTTGTCCCCAATACTAGCGTGTACTGACTTCACGAAGCAGTTCGTTTTCCGGACCGACGTTAGTACCGTGGTACTGAAGGCGGTCTTAACGCAGGAACAGAACGGGGAACAACGCGTTATAGCCTACGTGGATAGAGCCTTGGCCGACCCCGAGAAGACCTACAACACTACCGAGCAGGAGTGCCTTGCGGTTATATGGGCCACCTGGAAATTCTGCTGCTACCTAGAATGGTATCAATTCACCGTAATCACCGACCACATTCGCTTCCGGTGGCTCCACTAGCTCCGGAACACGATCGGGCGACTGGCCAGATGGTCACTGGAATTAATGAAATACGACTTCCAAGTAATTCACCGGGGCTCCGCGTCACGGAAAATCTCCAAGCCATTATGGCCGGAGACAGCTGGAACCACACCCAGAACGCGTGGTACCTACGAAGGCGGCAAAACGTCGAACGCTGCCTCCTCCAGTTCTTCGATTGGCCTTGGTCTCCCGTAGTAGCCGACAAAGTCGGGCAACTGATCTGCAGCAAGGCAGAATTCCGCTTCATCTTGGTGATCCAGGACCTAGTCCTCACTAAGAGGCACATGCTTTCCAGCGCGGCCGCGAACTTCACTGCGTCCTTGTGCACCCCATATTAAGGACGCTACGTGATCCAGAGGAAACTCTCCCCTACTGTCGTGGAGCTCGTCGACCTATATGGACGCCCCAGAGGAAATGACCTAAGGAGTACCGGATGACCCACTACTAAAATAAAGTTAATACCGTTGGTTTTAGAATCGAGATGTGTTTTCCAGGAGACCTACCTGCGGAGGGCCGGTCGATCTGTTGCTGAGAGAGGAACACGACTATGACGTCGTCATCGTAGAAGACCTCTCCCATCCCAGGCTGCCCCCTGATCACGACGCACCCGCCCGAGCTCAATGTGCCGCCGATACGAACGCCGTTTACGCGTTGGACGGCATCCTGGCAGCCTGCCGCCTTAAGCAATTCAACAGCTCCTTCCCCGATGAGCCCATCTGGGATCCTTCCGCCCAGGTTGCTGAGGTGGCTGACCGAGCACGTCCCGGACTTCGAGCTCAGCCCGTGGGAGTTCGTGGTGAGGGCCATCCACCGCTGAGGAGACCAGCATGGTCCCTTCCTAAAGGAGAGGGACGGGGCGTTCAACGCCATACGTGTCCATAGAATACGCCATAGGTATGCGGTTCTTGGTGCATATGCCTACCGGCCCACTGCAGCGCTACGCGACCACCATGCGCTGGGTGGGGAAAGAATTCCCAACCTTCTTTCCAGCCTCGTTCAGCTGGTCCCGAGGGCCATCCTCATCGGGCTACATTGCTGTCTCGCAAAGCAGCTCTGGTACCTGGATCGAGGCACCACCTTCGGGGCCCAGATCTTCAACGGGTACCTTTCAGGGTACCTGGGAAGATAGATAGATACCCATGGATGCAACCACTCAGATCATCTGCTTCGGGGTACTCAACACCAAAGCAGAGGTCCAATGCGACCTGCTACCATGTGCAGAGCTACCGCCCTCTGAGGCCTGTTGTCGCGAGCAGAGGATCCGCCCTTCTCTATGGAAGTGCAGCCCAACTCCGACGCTACGCCCCCTTACCGCACCAGGAGCCAACCCCCGAACAGTATAGCTGCCGCGGAGCCCCACCCGTGGTAGAGGACCAACAAGGTACTGTTTGGTGGGCCGACCTGATGGACTCAAAGGGGGATACTAGTCCAGTCCGTTCGTGGAAGATCGGAGCTGACCAGGATGCTCCGAATTTCGAACCCCAGGCGACCACCGCCGAGCCGAGTGGCCGTCGAACCGGAGGCCACCCTCTCGCGCAGCCAAAGGGGGAAGCTGCGGCGCCAGCGAGCGATCGAGCAGATCATCGCCGGCCACCCAACATCTGACACCACCCCTCGAACCATTTGTGGCTCACCCCTCCCTTAACCCTTAACCTTTTTATTTTAGCCCTTTTACAAGACAACCAAAATTTTGAATAAGGCCTCTGGAAGACTCCTCTCGACCTCGAGTGTCAGGAAGGAAAATTAATTTCCCCCCCTTGTTTTTGAGGCTCAAGCATTGTGAAGCGTACCGGCTCAAGCTTGAGCAGAGTTGCCTCCCGGCCGGCGTAGAGTCAAGTTGAGTTTTTGAGGACAAAACATGGTTCTCATGAGTTGAGTTTATTTCGAGTATTTTTGGCATCCCGGTTGCTGTAATACCTGGAAGAAGATGCAGTGGAGCGACTGAACAGGTGGGCAGGATCGAATTAATAGAGCTTTGAGGAATTATCGTTTTTTGAGAAGCCCATTGTTGGCCATGTAGAGGCGTCTCTTGTGGCGTCTTTTTGAGTTGAGGGAATCCGACTGTTCCCTCTGAGATTCAAAGTCAAGTTTAGATTTAAGCTTCCTATTAGGATTATTGTTATTGTGTTGCTCGGGATATTGTTATTAAGTTCGAATATCCAATAACTCGGTTGTATTGCTTATCGGAAAAGCCATTCGAGTTACGTTTCTTCGCCGTGTAAATTTCTTTTTCGTGACAGGAACACAAAAACGCGAGATTAAGATTTTGTATCACTTTCTGTTCAATTTTCTTTTTGTGTGAATTATAATATTTTTCTTTTTTGGACTTGGAAAACCCGTGTCTTCTTTATTGAGGTAGAGGAGAATCCCAGAGAGGGGGTATCGTGCCCCCTCCCCCTTGTAACAAGACGGGTCTACTCGTAAATGAGCAGCCAGCCATTTTGAGTTTTTGAATTTACTGATTTTTGTATTGAAGAGGAGTCAGTGTCTTTCGGAAAATATTCACACTGACTGGCGCCCAGGCAAAATTTTGGAAGTTGCGATTGCATTTCAAATTGAAGAGAGCAATTGACGTTTATTGCTCTGAGGTATCGGCGTAGGTCACAACCTATTCAATTTCACTGAATAACATTTTTGAATTGATTTTGAACGGAAGTTTATTTAAAGGGCGCTTATTTCGCAATTTCATATAATCCAAATTTTCCGCTCCTCACCTTTCCCAGTATTCCATCAACTTTGACTTCCGATAAGTAATCTGAAATTCTTTTGATTTCCTATAAACTGCCGCTATTCTTGTAATTTTTACTTCTACATGGAAGCTTTTTAACCGGTCGGTTTTCCAACTCGCTAATTTTCCCAGAAACGAAAAAATATGAATTTTTTTTTGCCATGGGGTTTCTTCACTCGAGCGGTTGGTCAGTTCTCACCTGCAGCTCGAACGTCCCATCCCAACAGCCCGGAAATATACTATTTTACCACTGCTGCTACGTTCATCTCGTACCGGAATTCGTCTTTTCGATTACTTGTAACTGAAAAAAGGCACGATTTGTCGCTCGTTAAACGCTAACAAGAATAGTGTAGTGTGCGGCAAGGGAGGAAAACGGTATT